CAGTTCTGAAAGGCCTCATTATATTCATAATGTACAAAGTGTACTTAAAAAAAAAAAGAAAGAAAGAAAAAAAACAAGACAGCTGCTTTGTTGGAATGCAGATGTTTGTCAGGTTAGACTCTTGACCACAGTGAGGAGATAAGAGCTTGTAACGGAATGAGACTTTCCAGTAATGGTCTGCTTAGCTGTATAGGTTTACACGGCCATTTTAATTGAAATAAAAAGAATAGGTTTTCATTGAAATAAAAATAATCTTTTGCCGTACTTTATTTCAATTATAATTAGAAACACTTGAAAGACTCTAATTACAGTCTCTAAGCCCACAAAATCTGCTAATTACATCATTTATCGCTGAGGGATGGAAAATTCAGGGCACGGTGCAGGATTACTAGCAAGGTTGAATTTTACATTCAGTCAAAATTTGCATGCATATTAGTAAGCTAACCATGTAAATTTCTTGACACAGTGGAGCTTCATTGTAATTTTTATATGTATACTTAATCAATCTGTAAGGTATCAGCAGTATTTATTATTATACATCCCATTCAGTACTGAAAGCTTGCCCGAATGTTAATAGATTTGAAACTTCACTAAATTGATCCAGCAGTAATTTTCTGCTCTGGCCCTATTTTCTTTGGTAAAAGCCACCATGGCTTGCAGAATGAACATAAATCAAAGTCTAGCTTTGGTGCACGTTGTCCATTGAGGCGGAGGTTGTGTGATGAAAGATCTGTGTTTTTGTTAAGCTCTTCCAGCTCACATCTGGAATCCTGCATTTTCTACCAGCAGAAAATGACAGGAGGGCAGGCTAACAATACTCTTTTCCAGACACTTTTCAGACTTACTGACTTACTATTCAAGCTGTGACTTGTTTAAAACACTGTATACCTAAGCAATGTATGAGCATTAAAAGAGTTGTCCATTGAAAAAAAGAAATCTGCCATCTGTTCTGTGATATAGGATGGAGGGGCTTCAAATCCAGCATTATAAACAATGACTGAATGATGTCTCTCTGCTATTTATATATATTGAGAGGAATACAATATGCCCAATCACACTGTAGACTAGAGAAGTCTTTATTAACCAGGGTGCAATGACACCTGGGGGGCCTCGAAATTTTCTCACAGTATCATAAATTTCAATGGTGCAGGCAATCTTGCCGCCTGTACCATGGAAATGAATTACGCTAATCCAGGGAGGGGGTGATTCATTGAGAAAAGGGTGGAAGCTTGCCTCTGTCCAGGCCTGCTCTGTCTCCCACAGCTGCCAATCCTGATGTGATGGTAGGACTCTAATGTGAAGAGAGACTTAGGACCCTGATGTGAAGGGGGGGCTCCTAGTGCGAGAGGGGCAGACTCTGATGTGATAGGAAGGGGGCTCCTAATGTGAAGGGGGATCCTATTTAAAGGGGGACTCTTAAGTGAAGGGGGTTTGTGATGTGAAATGTGAAGGGGGTTTGTGATGTGAAGGGGGTTTGTGATGTGAAATGTGAAGGGGGTTTGTGATGTGAAATGTGAAGGGGGGTCATGATTTGAAGGGGGGCCCTGATGTAAAAGGGGAACACCACTTTCTTGCGTGTCCCCTAAAATCCATATCAGACCCACGATCTTGGATTAGGGTCTAATATGGATTTTTGAGGGGGCACAGCTTTTTTTTTTTTTTACAATTGTTTTTTACATTTTAGATTGGGGTGCCTCGAGCTTGAGTGCAAAGGCTGGACTAGAGAATGGTAGGAAAGGATCGGTGATTACAGATTTCACCAGCACGTGTCATAGCAGGTAAGATTCAGCGGTGCACCACCCTTGAGAACACAGAGATGGGCAGAAGAGACAAAACCTTTCTGTGACTCGATATGGTGGGAGACAAAGGAAACCTGATGGTTGTCTAGCATGAACCACCAGCATGCGGGTGATATACTATTCTTTAAGTGTCTCTATAGCCATAGAAATTGGTTATAACCCATCAACTTTTTTTCTCTTCATGTCTTTGCCATATTCATGAGATTTTGCAAAAATGTTTGCCCTGGTGAAACATACAAAGGTAAAGGAAATATAGTAAGTTGTCATCAGGACAAGTGTCCTCAAGGAGAATTGGGGGTTTTAATGTTATGGCTTATTGGTGTAATTTGGAGAATTAATCCTCATCTCTTCTGGTAACAGCCTTAAAAGTTATTTTCCATCACTTTCTATTCCAGTGAGAATGGTGACCAGGACAAATAGAGAGTATGAATCTTCCAATGGAGACAGAAACAGCATAAAAATCCTACCAGAGATTCAAACCTCCATCCAAATTTAAAATCAATAGTTTTGGCTATAGATGCAGTTTAAATGACAGGCTGTGATGGCAAATGCTGCTCCATTTCCACCTCTGCCATCTTCTTTAATCCTTCCTCTGAATCTGACTTCTTCTTACTTTGGCGATTGGGTGGCCACTAATGATGTACACCGATCAGCCATAACATAATGACCACCCACCTAATATTGAGTAGGTCCCCCTTTTGCCATCAAAACAGTCCTGACCCATCAGGGCATGGACTCCACAAGACCTCTGAAGGTATGATGTGGTATCTGGCACCAAGCTCTCAGTAAAAGTCCTGTAAGTTGTGAAGTGGGGCTTCCATGGATCAGACTTCCAGCACATCCCTAAAAAATGCTCGATTGGATTGAGCTTTGGAGAACTTGGAAGCCAAGTCAACAGCTCGAACTTGTTGTTGTGTTCCTCAAACCATTCTTGAACCATTTTTGCAGTGTGGCAGGGTGCATTATCCTACTAAACGAGGCCACTGCCATCAGGGAATACCGTGAAGGGGTGTACTTAGTCAACAACAATGTTTAGGTAGGTGGTACATGTCAAAGTAACATCCACATGAATGGCAGGACACAAGGTTTCCGACCAGAACATTGCCCAAAGCATCACACTGCGTCTGCCGGCTTGCCTTGTTCCCATAGTGCAACCTGGCACCATCTCGTCCGCAAGTAAGCACCTACACACATACACCTGGCCATCCACAAGCTGTAAAAGAAAATGTGATTCATCAGACCAGTCCAACTTCTTCTATTGCTCTGTGGTCCAGTTCTGATGCCCACATGTTCATTGTAGGCATTTTTGGTGGTTGACAGGGGTCAGCATGAGCACCTTGACCAGTCTGTTGCTACACAGTCCCATACGCAACAAACTGTGTGTTCAGACACCTTTCTATCAGAACCAATATTAACTTTTTCAGCATTTTAAGCTACAGTAGCTCTTCTATTGGATTGGACTACACAGGCCAGGCTTCGCCGACACTTTTGGTAGGTCCTGACCACTGCAGACCAGGAACATAACACAAGAACTGCAGTTTTGGAGTTGCTCTGCTGCAGTCATCTAGCCATCACAATTTGGCCCTTGTCAAATTTTCTCAAATCCTTAAGCTTGCCCATTTTTTTGCTTGCAATATATCAGCTTCAGGGACAAAATGTTAACTCGCTGCCAAATATATCCCACCCACTTCCATGTGCCCTTGTAATGAGAGAAAAAAATGTTTTTCACTTCACCTGTCAGTGGTTATAATGTCATGGCTGATCGGTGTAATTCCCGTGCATGCATGTTGGATTTACATCCTCTGGCCAATTGGCTACATTTTCAGTGCCTGAAGGATTCCAAAGTGGGCGAGCAGTTGACAGAGAAAACGTTATTACGCTGCAGGCAGCTAATGGGGAAATTTTTGATAGAGGAAAGAGTTTTTGGCAGAAGAGCTAGGTAAAGTAGAAGAGAATATGAATTAATAAACCAATCACTGCTCATTTTATCCTGTCAATATATCAAATGCATAACTAAATAAAAAGGCTTTTAGGAAGCCACCTGGTTATGCATTTTTATTGTACAGAGGCTCTGCTTATTCCACCAGCATTTGTTTTTCTGCAAATTAATATGATTGTTTCCAGGACAATAAATCTTCAATCAATCTTTGGAAAAATATATGCACTTGGATGTATGTTGGTATGTAACAGATGCTTTGTATTTCAACTCTATACTCATGGGCTTTATGAGTTTATGTACGCTTATCCCTACAACTGCTTGCAACTGAAGTGCACATTTATAGATTTGCAGCCACCTTCAAATGGCATTGGACTGACCTGTGTCAGTATTAGCCATATATTAAAGGCATACAACAAATCGGGACTGTATCAGACAATAGTGGTCATAAAGTGGATATACTTTTATATCATTGTATGAGTTTATATATATATATATATATTTTTTTATAAATAAACTGGATTTCAGTTTAAAATTGTGCAATTATATTTTGACTGTTAGGAATGTATACAACTAGTAGACATTTTTATTCTGGAAAAAGTTATACATTGGATTGTATCTGAATATATTTTGGGTAAATTTAAACGGATATTTTGGCGATATATTCTTTAAATACAGTTGAATGTTTCTTTACACATGTGAAAGTGAAAATTCCCTTTTCTCCCATCATCACTACAAGATCGATCCTGGTGCAAAACAACTGTACGATGATTACCCTGTCTTTTTCCAGGAAAGAAGTCCAGCGGTGCCTACTTCCCAATCAGCTCCACCGGCATCACTCCGCTCCTCCCTTCTAAGCCGGCTCTGAGCTTATAGCCAGGAAGTTTGAAATGCTCAGCTTTCAAGCAATACAGCTTACACTGAGTATTTCCACTACCACAGGTATACTACTTCCCATCCTGGTTGCAAGCCTTTATACTTAGCTCTACACTCACCATCCTGGATATAAAGATACTTTACCTACCTATACACTCGCCACCCTGGATGTATGAATAGAAATACTCATCTCACCACTCGCCTTCTTGGATAGGGGATTTGTATACACACCTTCTCTGCACATTCTTTGGGGACTCCCAGGCCAGTTAAAGCAACAGCACCTTCCCTTGTGCACTCAGCGAGGACTCATTGCTCAGTTATAATCGTAACATCATCTTTGTGTTCTCTGCATGGACTCTCAGGTGAGCAAGTCCGCAGCACCATCCCACATTAACGCTGCAGGGAAAATCTGATGCAGCTAAACGCAAGTATATACATGTATTCTGACTAACCTGGGGACTATTACTCTGCTATACATTACTGTGGTTTATATGTTACTTGCCAATGGGTGAGACATGCCTATAAATGGTCACAACATAACTGGTGAGTAATTACTATATTGGCATCATAATGCATGTAGCTCAAATGGACTTACAACTTTGCATCCTGGGAAGGTTACGTCAGCAGTGCATTGCTGGGACATTGCATATGCCAGAGTTCCAGGAAGTAAAAGGAAATCAAGTAACCTGCCCTTAGTTAAAATGTCCACTGTGAGAAGAATGGGGAAGAAAATAAAAATAAGTTATGACAAAAATAAAAAAGTCTGCAGTTATCTAGAAGTATCTGTTTGTACATTTCTAAAAGTGCCTTTGTTGTTATGGGTAAAGTTCCTATTTAACTCCTACTAGTTTAGACTACTGCTAAGATTCCCTTCTTCACATTACTTTTTGGAGGTCATATCCTGACCCTTTTCCTGTAAGGAGCAGCATAATTCTCTGCTAAAATCTGTTGAGGATTGAATACATTACAAAAATTAATGCAACCCTTGACAGATAAAAATGCTAATGCGTGCTGTGATCAAAGCTAAAGGTGGTCCAACAACATATTACAGTGTGTGACTTTTTTTGCCTGAGAAGAGTGTGTGTGTGTGTGTCTGTGTATATATAGATATATATATAGATATATCTATAGATATATCTATATATATATATACACAGACACACACATATATATATATATATATATATATATATATAATCCCATATCCCTGTAGATTCTGCGAAAGAAGAAACTCATCCAGAAGTTTCTTCAATTAATTAATGTTATCCGCAGATACCACTAAGATTGAACCCCCTCTCTTCTAACCTCTTGTTGTGTCCCGGGTTCTCAATAGTTTTAGGATTAAACAATATTCCTAATATTGGGGTGCCCTTTGATGATTTTGAAGACTGCAATAAGGTCCCCTCTTAATTGCCTCTTTTCTAAGGTGAATACGTTTAGATTTTGAATGCAGTCTTCATAACTCAGGCCTTCTATCCCTTTCATTAATTTTGTAGCCCTTCTCTAAACTCTCTCCAGTTCCAGGACATCTTTCCTGAGAGTCAGCGACCAGAACTGTACCACATACTCAAGATGGGGCCGAACCAATGATTTATCAAGTGGAAGTATTACTCTTTGATCCCTTGCTACAATTCCTCTTTTAATACATACCAGTATCTTGTTAGCTTTACTGGCTGGTACTTGGCATTGTTTACTATTGCCAAATCTGTGCCAGGTCTTTTCTATGTCTGACTTCCCTAAAGTAACACCCCCCAAGTAGTAGTTTGCACACATGTTCTTTACTCCCATGTGCATAACCTTACATTTTTCAACATTAAATCACATTTGCCATCTTGTAGCCCATGCCTCAATTTTTCTTAGGTCCTGTTGTAGTGCGAATATCTCTTGTGCAGAATTTTTTGGTCTGCAGAATTTTGTATCATCCGCAAAAACTGAAACTGAGCTATTTAGTCCAATCTCTATGTCAATGATAAATAAGATGACCAGGATTGGTCTTTAACTTTCTCTAGCTGTTAAGACAGGGATCCTGAACCAAAATCTTACTAGGCCCCCTTATATATTATTCTAAAAATATTTTATACAAACTAGTATTTTACATACTAGTAAGAGATGGCGGATTTAATTTAACCACTGTTAGCAGTGTCGAAATTCTGCAGAATCTTCAGCCAGCAGTTTTACTACAGCAACAGTTGGCAGTGTGGACAGCAGGAGATGTAAGTATTCAATGGGGGAATTTATCAAAGAACTTGTGACAGTTTTAGCCTCTTAGATCATTTTTTTATTTGCAAATCTGTTTTTCAACATGAGGCCCTGTTTTCCTCAGAGCTTACACTACTTTTCCAACTGCACGTGTTTTGCACCTGTTTTCTTCAGAGCTTGCACTACTTTTTCATTTGCATGTTTTTTGCACCCTTTTTGCACGTATTTTCATCTGCACTTGTTCTGCGGCTGTCTGAAACTGGAGCATCACCTAAGAAAACAATCACAACTTCAGAAGTCCCCATGACCACTTCTTCAAGAAGCGACAGTTGAGCTTTTTGTCTGGAGTTACAAGTCTTCTTTCCTGGAGTCTATTAAACCTGATTTTTTTCCTACACAGGCGTAGGTGCACTTTTATCTTATTCTTTTATTTGTTATAATTTTTGTCTTATTATTTGTTACTTTTTTCTTTTTTAATCTTACTATCTTTTACTTTTTATCATTTCTATTATTATTTTTTACTTATTTTTTCATGGTTTTTATTTATTTTATAATGTTTTATCAATTTTTTTTTAATTATTTTTTTTTCACTTAACTTTATTGCTATCACAGAGGAGCTAACAAGTCCCGTGTGATAGCATATGGAGGTGACGGGTTCTCTTTACTGAACCTGTCACCTCCAATACAGGAGTTCTAGCACAGCATTGTACTAGAACTCCTGTGACAGCTTGTAAGGGATCGGGCGTATTGCGTTCCACCTGGAACGCAACGCCAGAGCCGAACATCGCAAAGCGTGGGTTGCGTTCCAGCGTGGAACGCAACGTACGCGATGACGTCATGCGGCTCCTCCCACCTAGCGGCTGGAGACCGCTTATAAGCCTCGTGGGAGCTCTGCACGGCGTTCCACTAATTTGGAGTGTACGCCGTGCCTGCTCCAACCACTGCCAGTCTGCCATAATTGAAGGAGCAAAGGAAAGGAACCTCATCCCTGGAACCTCACCCTGCAGGCTCATCACTCGCTGGCTACTTGGGGCTATGCATCCACACCAGCTCAACCGCAAGTATCAGTCACCTCAGTGACTGCATTTAAGCTGGACTGTCATTCTTCTTCACATAGAACCTTTGATACCAAGTGCCCTATATGATTTACCTCTACCTACCAATATGCACCGCGTTCCCCTCATAAGATATTGATGCTTTTGAATTGTGTGACATACAACCCCTGATGTAAGGACTGTATTACTGTTGCCTGCAAAAGAAGATCTAGTCACTCACAACAACATACCACCGCCACTGATAGAGGGTATAGCACCTACCAGTTAAAAAAGAAACAGGATAGGGAGCAGGTGTATGATGTTAGGATCCCAAACTCTCCGTATTGAAGATAGAGAGCCGCCTGGGAATCCGCAACTGAACAACCTGAACTAACCCCTCACTCTCGTTTCTGGGTTTTGTGTACCTGTACATGCAACACGTTTCCGCAGTTGAGATCCTAGCAACCCAGCTCGGTGCATTACATATTAGTGGAACCCCCATGGATCCAGCGGAGTTAGCGGGACACATGGTCGCCCTCTCACAGAGGGTTGAGACCCTCTCAGAGGAGGTACAGACTGTGCAACTAGAGAACCAGTCCCTGCGAGACCTTGTCGCACAGAACACCAATCCCCCACGGGAGGGACCCGAGCCAAAGGTCAGCCCTCCGGAGCTATTTTCAGGAGTTTGTAAACAGTTCCGAGATTTCCTTCATGCTTCCAAACTAATGTTTGAACTGCGTCCTAGAACATACCCTACAGACAGGATAAAAGTCCTCACTATGATTTATTACCTTAGAGGGGAGCCCAGAGCATGGGCGAATACCTACTTGGAGAAGGAGGACCCCGTCTTAGACAACTACCCCCAATTTCTTACAACCATGGCCCTCTTGTTTGAGGACCAAAGCAAGCAGCTGATGGCGGAACACGCCATCAGGAGTATTAAACAAGGCAGAAGGCCTGTTGAGGACTTTATTCCCGAAAATACTCGGTGGGCTCGGAAGACCCAGTGGAACGATCTCAGTCTCAGGAACCAGTTCCGTCTCGGCCTTTCCGATGCACTGAAGGACGAGTTGGCAAGAGGAGAGATGCCCCCCACTCTTGATGCTCTAATGCAACGAGCCACCACCCTAGACGGGTGTCTACGTGAACGCAGAGCAGAGCGGGTTTCTGGATATGTGCCTTACGTTAGACAAACCGAGACACACCCCTCTGAAGAAAAAATTGAGATAGGTGCCCTCAGGGGGGTCCCCTAACAGAGCGAGAGAAAACCAGAAGACGCGCCCTGAATCTCTGTCTATACTGCTCTTCCGAAGGCCATGGGGTAGAGGATTGCCCGTCCATAAAGAAGAAGTCCGAAGGTAAGCGGTATTCCCTCTGTAAGATTGCGTTCCCTCAGATCAGAACACCAGGTTACCTGTACACCTCTCTTACTCTACAGTGGGACCAAAATCGACTTACCGTTGACGCAATGGTGGACACGGGATCGTGCGGGAATTTCATCGATACGCATCTGGTTGAGCGAAATAAAATTCCTATGATCAAAAAGAACTCCCCGATATCCGTGAGTTTTATTGACGTCACCACTTCAGCCTCAGGTCCAGTGCAAAACCAAACCCTACCTATAATGGTGACGTGTGAAACTAATCACACCGAATTCCTGATATTATACCATCCCCGTTATTCACTATCATACTGGGGCTACCATGGTTAAAACTCCATAAACCAACCCTACTATGGGAACAAGGGAGGGTAGGTTTGGATTCTGGGTATTGTCAGGAGACCTGCTATCAAACAAACTCTCTATTATTGGTTGGGGGCAACCAGGTACCATATCACTACCGGGAGTTCTCCGATGTGTTCAGTTCAAAGAATGCGGAGATGCTTCCGCCTCACAGGTCATATGACTGCCCCATAGACCTACTTCCGGGTTGCGAAATACCCACGGGGAGGATCTACCCCTTGGCACAACCCGAGCTCGACCATCTCAAACAGTATATAGAAGAAAACCTGAAAAAGGGATTCATTAGGGCCTCTACTTCACCCGCAGGTGCTGGAATGTTCTTCGTTCGGAACAAGGACTCCAGCCTCCGTCCAATCATCGACTACAGACCTCTGAACAAAGTGACTGTAAAGAACAGGTACCCACTGCCTCTCATAAACGAACTCATTGAACGCC